TTTTATATATATTATGGGTTCATGATCGAAAGAGAGATGAATGCACTATATTTGTGCCTTACTAATAGGGTGCAGTTGGCATACTGATGCATCCGTAACTGTAGAAGTAAGGTGTACCTTCAAATTTTATCTTGGTATATAATTTTGATGTAAAATGTTCTTAATATCGTCTCAAAATCTATTTTTATATCTAATTATAAAATTTTAAATTTAAAAAATAGTTAAAATCAAATAGATCTATAAACATATGAAAATCTTGAAAATGGACGGTGAAGATAATATGTTTGTAAAATGCACTGTTTCTGAAACTTAAAATCTTTTTATTTTTCATGGTCATACATCTCGATGTCGAGATGATCAATCAAAGGGTTTTTTAACATTAAAACTACCTTTTCCGATGGATTTTTGAGGTGCATCCATAGTTATAAGGTTGCATCCTTATATAAACTTTTTCCTTACTAAAATTAGGATTACAAAAAAAAGTAGGATCTGATAAGCCTCAAATTTTAAGGGTCATCAAGCTGCTCAAAATAAATAAAAAAATGAAAAAGAAAAAGATCTAAATTGCACACAAATAAAAAGACATTTTCACTTGCGCTAAGTTTGGTTCATGCATAGAAGTTTACCGAAATATTTTCACGTGAAGATTGCGTTTCATATATTTGTTTGGTGCTTAATGCATGTGCAGATAAATCCCATAGTTAAAATTATAGTTAAAATTTTTACCATGAAATAGATATTTACAATACAATATATATATATATATTATATTACATTTTATAGTTAATATAAAAAACATATTTAAAATATAATAGTTTAATAATATTTAAATGTCATTGAAATAAATATAACTATATATATTTAGTTATAATGTTTAATATTAAATGTATAGATTTAATATATTTATAAAATATATCGAAATACCACAACTTACCAAACATATATTTTTTAGGATTGTATACAATGAGATCATTTACCTTTTTTACATGGAGGTCACAATTACTTCCCATTAGATGTGAAATTTGATAGCTTTGATGTGTCCCAAAGTTCGACAAAACTTCTTTTGGACATTGAACTTGGTCAATAAAATAACTGTAGCTACCTAATATCACATCCAATGGTCAAGATTAATTGTGTCCACCTTGTACCTAAAGTAAATGGTCTCATTATATACTTTCCCATTTTTTTGGGTAACTATGAGATAGAATAACTAGTCCACATGGTCTTTACCGACCATAATTAATTACACAATGATTAAATTCTTTGGTTTCGTTAAGTTATAAACCTCTGGTCCCATTATTAAACATGTAATTCATTATCCAGTTTGCAAAAAATTTTCCTATAAAATGTTTACATGTTTAAATATTAGGGAAATTAAGAGCTAATGAAGGGAAATTAGGAATGACTTGGTGCAAATATTAGGAAAATTAAGAGAGAAATAGGGAAATTAAGGATGGAATACCAATTGGTGATTAGCTGTGGGTTGAGTATCTCTCAAGTGGCTTTTAACTGATTTAAGAGATGTAGACCAGGGCTTTGGATGTCTAACTCTTGGCCTTGCTTTCTTATGGAAATCTGTTGTTGCTGTGTACAAAAACCATAAACAATGAGAAAATAAAATCACATAAAAATCTAAGTGTTACTATAGAGGCATGTTGATGCAGCTACCTTTCTCTTTGTGATGATAAATAACCTACTTAACCTCAGCCAATAGTCGTGGCTGGTCAAAGAAGGGTAGTAGGACTCAAGAAAGGGGCAATAATGTAATAAAGAAATTATTTGGATTTTAATTTTTTATTTGTTTAGTCATTTATATTTAAGTTAAAAAATTTTAAATTAAAAATATATGGCTATGATTAAATAGAATGGATAGCATGATAAAGCTTTTTAGAGTCGAGTTATGGGTTCTTTAAGTACTTATTATTGACAGGTTTAGGGTATTCTGTAGAAAACTTTGGGTGAATTAACTTTGGGAGGTGGATTCTCCATAGTTTGTGATTTTTTTTTTTTCATTATGGGAGGTGGATTCCTCATAGTTTGTGATTTTTTTTTTCATTCCGAGAGGTGGATTCCTCATAGTTTGTGATTTTTTTTTCATTTTCTACTTGCTAATTTATGAAGAATCAACCCTAATTTGTATTACATGTGAAGAATTGGAACTATCTGTGAATAAAAGTGCTAATTTGTGAAGAATCAACCCTAATTTGCATCACATTTGAAAAAAGATGAATGATTTGATGAATGAATAACCTACCTTCATATGAAGATCAGTTCTATCTATTTACGAATTGAAAACGGAACACAAACACTTTCTCTACTCAAACTTTCCACGAAGGCAAAGCCAAATTATGAACTTACATATATCATTCTCAGAACTGCTGCACATGGAGTTGTTGTCAGGATCGTTATCTTGATAGTCATCTTCATCTCCTCTTGGAGGTTCAAGAACGCTTAGCGCGTTCCTTTGCAATTTAACTTCTGTTCCGTTTTTCAAAATCTGGAGTAATAAATCATAAGTATAAACCAACAATACATGGACCAGTTTAGAGCACAGTTAGCAAATCGGGGAAGAATAATATATTGGTGAATCAAAATATCGGTAATGAATTGATTTTGTTTCAAAAGTCAATTGAAAAAATCAGGTAAAAATACAGATTGACAAAAAAAAAAAGGTAAGTAAAGATGACATTATATGGGATTATGATTTGAAGTTATTGTGTAGATACATTAAAGCAATTGAACAATAATTTTATGTCCTTATCTAGAAGAGTGTCATTTGAGTAATACTCGACAATTTATTGTCTCAACTTTTATTAAATCCATCAATAATGTGTATTTTGTTGTCACACCACAAAACATATCATAAATTTATTCGATGCATAAAATGAAACAACGACAATAATACTTCAAACAATAACTATATTAGTAAAGGATGCAGTTTCCATAAGGTTGCAACTTTAACAATCCAACTAAGGTACACCTTCAAATTTTATCATAATATATAATTTGATTAAAATGTTCTTAGGATTATCTCAAAATCTATTTATAAAATTTTAAATTTAAAAAATAGTTAAAATCAAGTAGATCTATAAACATATGAAAATCTTGAAAATAGACGGTGGAGATAATATGTTGTAAGATGCACTATTTTTTATATTCAAAATCTTTTTATTTTTCATAATCATACATCTCGATGTCGAGAAGATCAATCACAGGGTTTTTCAACATTAAAATAACCTTTTCCGATGGATTTTTGAGGTGCATCTGTTAGTTCTACATTTTAATGTTGCAACCTTATATAAACTTTTTCCATTAGTAAATAATGGAACAGTAAACCAACATATAGGATTATTATTCAAAGAAAAATAAGACAACAAAGACCCTCAGTATTGGATTGCAATTAACTAAAACAAAACACAGAGACCTAAATATGTAAAGTTGTTGTCCATCCATAATGCTATGTTGTATAAACCAATGAAATAAACAATAAAAAATAAAAATAGACAATGAATCAAAGTTCTCTATATGCATAAACAAAGCAACAAAATGCTCAACCAATCACTCTAAATTCCTAGTTGACTTAAAAAAAAATTCATTTGGGTTACTAATCTAAGTCTTCCTATTATTTTGAGATATATGATTGCTTTGATATCTTGATATCTTATTTTTTTAAAAAGGCGATTTTTAAAAAATCTTTTGAAAAAATTCGGAGTTCTTAAAATTGAGTTTTAAACAGAGACTTGCTAACTATGGTTTAGAGTGATCGGAAAAAACTGAAGTAGCCATACAGAATGAACATATGCAACAAGAAATCAGATGGAACGTACAAGGAATGTGAGAGTTATGTAGAATCTAGACATCAAAAAATCCATCAAACACAGAATAACATAGATGGGGATTGGGCAAGTTTTCAACTTTATTATGAAAACAAACCTTATGGGTGCACTCCACTTTACATCTCTTCCCTTCCATCTCAAATACTTCTGACATAACAGAGAGCAAAACCCAAAGGACAAAAAGAAAAAGATAAAAACCTATGAAAGAGAGAAACATGATGAGGTGGGGATTATAATGGGGTTTGTTTTGCTCATAAGGAAGGAAATCTGTGAGTCAAATCAGCCCTCTGGATGCAAGGTCACTTTCTACGAAGAAATAGAAAGATTTCTATTATGAACTTAACAAGAAAAGAAGATATAAATAGTGCAGATCCAATGAAATAGGAAAGACTCACAAAATATGTGAACAACGCGGTGTTTGTCAGGAAGAAAATTAAAAGCAAATCCTACATAGAACGCGCTGAATAATTAATATTTTGATAATCATTCTAAACAATAATAAATACTTAAAAAGAAATAAGGCTTACAATGATTTCTTATAGATATTTATAAAAGGAAAAGGTATATATTGAGCAAAGGCTCTAAACAATCAAATTAGAGCCCGCCTCAAAACTAGATGAGGTTGTTTTAATGCCTAAATATCTTCAAATTGATCATCTCAAAATCAAGATGTATGGACATGAGAAAAAATAAATTTAAAGTATTGAAAATAGTACATCTTCTAATGTATTTTTAGACTGTTAATTTTCAAGATTTTCATAGATCTACTTGATCTACACTATTTTTTAAGCTTTAAATTTTATAATTAAAGATAAAAATATATTTTTAAGATTACCACAAAGATTTCCAGTATTGAAACCACATTTCTTGACATTATTTGAAAGTGTGCTTTACTTTGATTGTTTAGAGCCTCGGCTCCCATCCTCTGTAAAAAATTCTCATAGACGTGTTAAAACTTTCTATTGGTTTCAGATTTTGCTAACCTTAACCCTTTTCTCTTTATATTTATCTTTTCTATCTCTTTAATTCTCCTTCCCGTTTTTCTTTCCAGTGTTATAAGAAAACCTTAAAGGTTTCAATATACCCCCTCATCTTTTATCTCCCTCTTTTATTGACTTTTGGATCATAAAAATTAACCCCAACAAATCTTTTTATACCATTTCAACCTATAAACTTTTTTTTAATAAATGGAAAGGAAAAAAAAGAGGGTTAAATTTTTTTTGAGATGAGATGATATAAAAATATTTGTTGGGAAAGATTTTTATGGTCAAAAGTAAATAAAAGCGGGAGATAAGAGATGAAGGGTAGGTAAAATCCTCAAGGATTTCCTTATTCCACTTGAAAAAAACGAAAAAAAGATCTGCCATGAAATAATATGAAAAATTAGGGTTTTATATGAAATTTTCTCTTCTGTTTATGTTTATCTCTTTTTTTCTCTCTCTAATTATTTTTAATATTTATCTTCTTTTTCTCTTTAATTTTTTTTTCTATTCTTTCTCTCTAACTCTCTTTCTCTCTCCAAGGAGATTTATATAACAACATGTACGTACCTTACGTTCCCTATAGAAACTCCCTTCAACCCCATCTCCTATGAAAAATAGACGGAATCAGAATTGTATTGCATTGGAAGCGCGTTTGTTAAGTTGATGAAGTAAGTAGAGCGAGAAAAAGAATTAGAAAGAACAAATATTTAGAGGGAAAGAAGAGAAATAAAATTAGAGAGAGAAAAAAGATATAAATATTAAAAAAAATTAAAGAGAGAAAGAAGAGATAAATATAAAAAAATTAAAGAGATGAAAGAGATAAAGTATAAATAGAGAGTGAAAAAGGTTACGGCATCTTGATAAGGGTTAGTTTTTACCGTATATAACGTGGATTAGTTTTTAACATACTTACAAGGCCGTATAAGTATAAATAGAGAGTGAAAAAGGTTACGGCATCTTGATAAGGGTTAGTTTTTACCGTATATAACGTGGATTAGTTTTTAACATACTTACAAGGCCGTATAACATGAGTTAGTTTTGTTATTTTGGTAAAAAAAAGCTCAAAATTGAACAAGAGTATAAGCGAAGTTTATGAAAGTTGAGGGTTTTTTTGTTTCTAAAAACATAAAAATTAAGGTAGATTTGTGATTTTATTTTTTTGGTAAGGGCGGCGTGAAGCTGAGACCCACCGCCTTCTAATACGGGACTTTCATAAAATTAATGAAGGGGCACACCCCCTTCTAAGGATTAATGAAGGGGCAAACCCACTTCTAAGGATTTCTAATTTTTTGATTTTCATAAAATTAATGAAGGGTACAGGATTTCAAGGGACCCGTGAAAGTGACACCACTTTTGATTGTGGGCATTTAGACTTGTGCAACCCACCTCCGCTTGTTTCTCAACAATGTGGGACAAGACCACCTCCTCTACTTTCTCAACAATTTGGGAAAAAATCTTGTATCTTTATACCATCACATGCACTCAACGAACATTGATTTAAATCAATCAAAAAAATCGAGCCACTCAAGCCATTGATTTAAATAATAAAATTGAACTTAATAAGAGAATTAAGCGACCACGTTCATTCAAATCAAAGCATAGCAAAACAAAATTGAGCCCAATATAAAACTAAGAGTGTTAATGGAAAATGAAAAGAACATATTTTAAAAAATGAAACAAAAAGAAAACTCAACAAGTTACTCTAAGACAAGAAAATATCTAGTTAAAATGAAGCAAAAAAAATATAGAAATAATTAACAAAGCAATATAGCAAAGGAGGACGTCCCACAAAAACAAATATGGCAAAAATAAGAGAAAGTGCTTAGATCCTTAGATCTATGCAACTTCATTGTAGTAAAAATTCATATGGAAACAAATAAGTAATCCAATAAATTAATTATTACAAAAGGAAAAAACTAGAAATGAGAAGGCAAGATCCTCTATTTTTACAATCATAATTGAAACTGAAGATTGTAAAAATAGGAAATTAAAAATTTGAGTTAGAGTGATCTATTTTTATTGTAATGAGTTACATTTTAAATTACATTTTGATTATGAAATAGATTTAGTGGTCAACAAATACTCAGGCAAAAAACATGTTTAAGTATTTACATCTTTTTAATGAAATAGTGAAAATTTACAATACAATACCCCAAGTTTCTTTGAAAATATAGAACACTAGATTTTTAAGAAATTTTAATATTTTTTTAAAAATATTTGAGGCCGAAACCTACCAATCCGGCCAATTCTCCGATCCAAATCGTAGATCCACCGATCTAACATGGTTTTTGAATTGGCTGACCTGTGTCAATCCATTTTTTAAAACCTTTGGTTTTACTTTATATAAGATGTTAAGCTTACTATTAAAGTAAATCGCACTTCAAAAGCCCATCAAGAAAGATTGCCACGGTGCTAAAAAACTTCAAATTGATAATCTCGACCTTGAGATGTATAGTTATTAGAAAAAAAAAAAAAAACAATTTCAAATCACGAAAATAGTGCATCTTTAATACATTATTTGGACCATCCATTTTCAAAAAATTTAATTGTTTATATATTTGCTTCGTTTTTTTTAGCTTTAAAGTTTTAATAATTAGATGTGACAATAGATTTTCATGCCATTGTAAAGCTTTTTTGGCAACAAAACAAGTTCTTTGGGCATAATTTTAAATTGTGCCTTTACTTCAATGGTATAAGGTTGACACTCCACTCAAAACTCACCCATTTCTAAATAATGTTTAGATGTATTAGTTATCATGACGATTCACGTTTCCAATAATTAATGGTGCGAATAAATAATCTATTATATTTCAAAAAATTTAATTGTTTATAGATTTGCTTGATTTGACTTAATTTTTTTTAACTTAAAAGTTTGATAATTAGATGTGAGAATAGATTTTCATGCCATTGTAAAGCTTTCCAGCAACAAAACAATTTCTTTCGGTATAATTTTAAGTTGTGCCTTCACTTCAATGGTACAAGGTTGACACCCCACACAAAACTCACCCATTTCTAAATAATGTTTAGATGTGTTAGTTATCATGATGATTCAAGTTTCCAATAATTAATCTTGCTAATAAATGATCTATTATTCAGGCAGTTCAAGTTTTTTTTTTTTAAAATGCTTTTTTGCTTTATTCAAAATAATTTACTGAAAATCATATATTTTAACTACAAATAGATAAAATCATATGGATATTACTGAAAAACTAAAAAAAAAAAATTACACATAATAAAATTACAAGGAACCCATCAAAAAACTAACAAAATAATATAACGTACTGTTACACTGTAGAAGACATCTTTCAATATCTAACATACATCTCCAAAAGATCGTTTCCTATATAATGTGCATAATGACCTGTGCAATAATTAAGGCCCATGAATAAGAGATCAAAGGTATTGCTCTTGATTTAACTACCATAGGAAGAAATAGGCAAACATATCTAGCATGAAAGACTGAAAACTGAGATAGCAAAACAAGAATAAAACTAAGCAACTTAACATATCCACAACCACCAAATAATATGATAAATCCAAAGGAAAATCCAGTACATGAAAATGAAGTACATGGAGATTTCATGTATGGATTCAAGAAATCGAATTGGAATTAATTAAAGCAGTAATATAGTATCTATAGTTGTTTGCTTCTTGACAAAATGTTCATGAATGGATTCAAGAAATAAAATTGGAATGAATTAAAACGGGAAGAAAGCATCTAAATTTGTTGGGGGACAAGTATGCAATGAGACCATTTACCTTTGTTACAAGGTAGTCATAATTAATCTTGACCATTGGATATGAAATTGGGTGGCTGCATTATTTTATTGACCAAGCTTAAAGTTCAAAAGAAATATTCTTGAACTTTGTGACACCCAAGCTATTAGATTTCACATCAAAGGTTATAAGTAATTGTGACCTCCTTTTACCAAAGACAAATGGTCTCGTTGTATACAAACCTATTGCTTCAAAGAAAAAAAAGGAAAAAAAAAAATGAATCCAAAGCTTTTACCAGCCAGTGCCATCCGCCAAGCCCAACTGCTTTCTTGACGACTCCTTGAAGCCCAACAAGAACAGATTTCGTTCTGTTATTTCCAGTTACAATTACTTTGGTGTGCCGTGGAAGCAGGCAGAGCTCTTCCTCTCCACTTTCTACTCGACTTGGAGAGAGAGCCCGAGATGAACAAAGCATTGGCTCCAGCTTTTGCTTTTGCTAATGCTGACCTTCCGGCCTTTGTAGTAAATAAACACAAAAGATCGAGTTCTGATGAATACACTCCTCTGCACTTTGAATTTGAATTGCATTACAATTCTTCATTGAAACTCGAACCATAACATCTTATCATCCTCAACAAAGAGGAATCATTCCAAGAATTATGATATATAACTCCCTCAATTCAAGAAAAAAATGAGACCTGTGAATCAAAATAAGTTCTTTTAGCTTTCTTGTAGAAATCCAGATAGTATGAAGCGAGTAAAATCTAACTATATCCGTCATCAATGTTAAATTGAATCCAAAGAGACCACTTTGCCATAGTTACCAGGAGGAGAAAACAAGGGGATGAGATAATTTGGCTCTAAAGATCTTCAAGCTTTGGATAAATAGAATTTCTGAAGGAATAATATATACTATGATTGGCTGAATCATGCAAACCAACCTGCTCTTATTCTCCTGAAAGGGATTTCACAGGAAGAAAATGATGATAACACTCATGAAGTGATGATAAAAGTGTACATAAAGTATTAAAACTACTTTAACAAGATTAATACATGTAAACAATAATGTAATAATTTCCTTTGCTTTGGACTTGAATATGGGATATCCATAATTTCGCATAAACATGTTGTTAGAAGTAAAGTTTTCATATTAAAAAGCAAGGATTTCAAGGCCCAAATTATGAAGGTATATCACTACACATTTGATCAAATAGCAGAATGATCTCTAAGCTCTGATTGAACTTTTCCAAGCATATCTCATATGAGAAACCAAATTAGGGGAACAAAATCTACCTACTTCCACCAACTTTCTTTCAAAGTTTTTGCAGAGAAAATGAAGCTATTTCCGGGCGGGGGGGGGGGGAGGGGGAGGGAGCAAAGTTCTTTTCTTTTCTTTTTTTTACTTTTTATTTTGAGAAAATAGAAAGGAGATCTTCAGTCTCTGCAAAGCATTGGAAACGAGTTGAGTCTATGTACCGAATCAAACAGTGAAACTCTGATTGTTATTACTTATTAGCACTGATATTCATATTCAGTAACTGAAAACAAATGGTTTTCAACCTGTTCATCAGCAAATTGCATGCACTACAACCAAATTAAGAACAGAATCACTTTCAATAGAAATCGACCACATAATCAAAGTCCTTTCCCTAATTGAGTCATTGTGCTACAATTTATGGTAATTGAATAAAATAAATAAACTATAAGGACCACGAATTTACCTGCGCCTGTTACTTTTTTGCGAGTCTTACAAAATTCCCAAATTTCATCTGCATTTTGCAATGGAAAAGAGATCATTAAGCAAAGATCAAAATTTCATGATCAAACTATATCTACTTAAAGCAAATTATGCCCAACAGAAACTTACCCAATCTCATATACTCTTCACATTTCAAGCCATTAATTAAAATCGACAGATCATAGTGATTTAAGGCAATGAACAGAGGATCTTCGAAAGGCAATGAACAGAGGATATTCGATATTTTGCCGCAGTTTAAGAAGAAAATTACCCAAACTTTTAACTCATAAGCCCTGCAACTTTTTCTCTACTTATCACTTTAGAGACAATCCGTAAAAATAAACAACCTGCAAATTTTTCAGTACTGAAAAACCATTGCATTATCTGTTTCTCGCCATTAACAATCTTTTCTGACCGTCAATTCCACTGTAACCACTCAGATCTAGAAAAGAACCAGTACTTACACCTTCGATTGTTCACTCTGGTCCTAACGCCTGCTTCAAAATTTTCAGCATTGAAACAAAACCAGGCCCTGTGACTCCACTTTCGCACTAACCTCCCACAAAGCCCTCAATTCACCAAAATTCCACCATTAAAGCAGCAAACAAACTCGCATTATATAATTCATGCCACGCCGAACCAGTTTTCGACCTCAGATTCCCCGAAAAACTCACTGAAATGGGTAAAAACAGAATTTCTTTCAGAGAAAATGCGAAGAAAAGGACTGCTTTTTCCCTTCAATGCCTCTCTCTATCTACTTTTGCGCTCTGAAACTTCTGATCACTCTCTGTACACAAACACGCACACACTAAATGCGTACCAACTGCCATTTGAGAAACGACTTGTCTGATCGTACGGCTTTTCCTTTAATCTGCGACCAGTTCACGGGCTGTTACCGGTAACTGGATCTCGGAGAAGTGGAGATGCGGGTTTTAAATCACGGGCGTTACCGGTAACCCGATATCGGCGAAGTGGATACGCGGGATCTAAATCACGTAGAGGGAGCTCTATAACAAGGTAACGCACCGCGTCCGTTACTGAATTTAATTGCAACGGGGGTGGAATAAATGGTGCAAAATGCACACAAAAGCGGCATCTTGCTCAAAATCACGGACATCACATAACGGTGTCAAGTCAGGGTGCTATGGATTCGAGAACTTAAAATTGGAACGACACGAATTGAGAAAGTTGCCATTGTATTAAGTGGCGAGATTTCATGCTCCCGTAAGAGCATCATGTCCATTTGCTCCATTGGCAAAATTCAAGTTAGGAGCATTTTCTGGATCCTAAATTTGGAGATGCAATCTCTATAACCTAGTGACTAACTCAAAGAAAAAAATAAAAATAAAAACAAAAGAATTGATTGACTTCAAAGGAAAATAAAATAAAAATAAATTATTTCATATATAACTCAAAAAAAATTACTTCCCAAGATTGAACACGACTAATTTTATAAGCTTTATATGTTAAAGAACTAAAAAACCCAAAATATTTGTAAAAAAAAGTGATACTTAGATGGATCAAAAAATTTTGGATCAAGAAAATCCTCCTAGGTATCTAATTTGCCTGAGGGAGTTGTTATACAGTATGCTCCCATGGAAGCATGACATAAGAATGATAGAAGATTAAGAAAAATTTATGCTAATTTTCTCTATTATTGCTTTTACAAAAATCTCCTTTAAAAATTTATTTTACATCAATACCCTATTTTATATTTTGGTTTTTCAAAATAGCCCTTACTTTAGAATGTTAAAGTTAATGTCCGTCAAAAAAAAAAAAAGTACTATATCTTGAAGCTCCAAAGTTGATGTTTGGAACATCTTGAAGCTCCAAAGTTGATGTTTGGAACGATTCATGAGAAAATAAAATAAAATTATAGACTATCAAGTTCAGAATTTGGTCAATTTCAAAAAAATAATAATTTGAAAAAAAAAAAGAATGAAAGTGAAACCAATTTTTTTAAGGGATCTATAAAATAATGGTAGTTTAGAGGAATACTAGCGTAATTTTTTTAAAAATAAAGAAGAGGAATATTAGCATAAACTTCTCTAATACTAACAATGTTATAAAATAGACTAACAATGTGATAAAATACATGTCGTATAAGATTAACGGTAGCATAAGATAGCAATTGTTCGTTATAGCATGCAGCAAAACAGAAATAAAGGATAAAAGAGTAACACTACAATCAATGTAACCCTCGATGAATGTGATTCCAAATATTTGAGGTTAAAGAAACGAACACTATAGTCATACGAATCCGGCATTATACTTATACGAATCGGCATCGGCTAAAGTGGTTAGTAGTTGATTTTAACAATGTTACATTTAGTAGTTGATTTTAACAATGTTACATCTTAATTCCTACCGCAGAACTACCCAAAAAAAGAAGAAGGAAAAAACAGCATGGTGAGTCGCCACTATTACAGAAAGTGAGATAAAATGAAAATGGAAAACTAGAAAAAAGAAGAGAGGAACACAAAATAAATAACTACATATGCATGCGGTTCCAAGGTTTTACCCAATGGTTTAAAAACCGGATCGGTGACCCGGATCGGGCTTTTTAAAAACCGATCCGGATCGGCGAATCGGCGATCCGGATCGAAATCGGGTGAATCGGTCAGAATAAAGCTTAAAAAAAATTCGAAAAAA